TGCATCCGGGACAATCTGGTATGGGGGAGGAGGCGAATTGGCCTGTATAGGGTGCCACATTACCTTGGCAGTGCGCTTTTTTTAGATCCACAGCTATTTTAAATTTGACAGCTCATGACATCAGAGAATGATGTCACTGATGTGATCCATCAATTCTTGATGTCCTCGCCTCAGAGAATCCGCCTTCTGGCTGTGGCTGTGCTCATTCCCAATGCGGAGATCAAAATGCCATCTGCTGGCCTCATCCATGGCTTATTTCGTTACACCACACCTCTTAATAAACAAAACAATTATGCGATAATATTATACATAATTTTAGCTTTCTGTAGATGCCAAGAACATCAGGATAGACCTGTTTCTGGTAAAGATATGGTGCAAACAGTGGTTTATACACCAAAAAAGCGAAAATGCGCACCAAATGTGCCCCCTCTCATGCCCCCCTGACTCAAATAACCTATGTGATAATTTAGGGTAGTGTATTACCTTTAATTTTACCCCTTAAAATTGGTTGTGCATGCAGTATTGACTATGCTATTCCCTTATAGAGCGCATTTTCTAAAAATAGCAAAGAAGCGCACTCAATTCTCTACCATTTTCAGGCATCCAACCCTTGGGGCAGGTCAGCAATTCAATAGATAATATATAGAGCTTTCAAACGAGCCCTCCTGCGTGTTTATGCACTCAGTATTGCAGCTTATATTACAGGATTACCCCTCATGCATGGAAATTTATTGATGGCTGCACATCCATGCAGAATTCTGGCTTCTCCATGCATTATTTTGCTTAGATTTGGCTGAGCGAAATGTTGGGTACATTAATACCTTCCTGCATACATACTCATCACATGAAACGGGTGGAAACTCGTTGAGATATGTCAGATGTGATTTTGGCTGCTATAATACATGGTGCACCCATGCATCCTGGGGCATGTTTAGGGCCATCTAACTTGGCCAAAAATCATGGAATACATTCCTTAGAGTAATGGTACCATTTATAATGCCAGGGGGTGTCCGGGTATAGTAGATCTGAGGGGGGGTATAGGTACACCAGGAGACCCACTCCAGATCCCCCACTAAACGCAGCTCTGAACATCTGAAAGTTT